GCTAATATGCTTATATCCAATAAGCATTTAGGTTTATACAGCTTGGAGGTGGGAAATATACATAAAAATGATGATATGGTCGAAATACTCACTTGCCTAATAATTGTGCACGTGGTGTATGTTGCTTCACACAGGCCTACTTCTTGCCTCCCAGTGCCTTTCACCCATCCATTTTCACCAAAACTTTCAATGAGAATTTTTGGCTCAGATTTTATTTTTCTTTTGCATTAGAGTGAGGAGGATGGTGGGTTTCCTTGGGGAAATTTTGGTAGTCTCATAGAGATTTATTTAATTCTCCTCAGAATGATAAAGAATTCACTTTCAATTTTGCCTTAGTGAATAAACAATTGTCCAACAACTGTCATATCTCTGACTATTGTCTGTCTTGGCTGAAACAAAGGGAAAAATAGACTCTCTGGATGGCCCTTATTCCAGCACCTGTTTCTAAGACAGTCAATCAGTTTTTTCAAGGAAAACCATTAAATAAGGTATAAGGGCAAGAAATAACACTCTTTTTCACCTCTAGGACCTATAGACATTTTTAATATACATATAATGAATGTCCTAGGGTATAAAAATGCTTTTATTTAAGATTCCAGCACCTGTGAAAAAACGTTTCTTCCGCAATCAAGCTGGACTCACCAATCGCTGGCAATTTCCATTCAGCCTAAGCTGTGACTTACTAGGAATTTCACAAACTAATAAAGCTAAACGAACTGGTCTTCATGAGAACTTGATGAGAATAATGTCAGGTAAAGTGATAACTAGAAATACTGGCTGGTTCAGACTCCACAATAAGGGATTATTTGTTTTAACCTTCATTTGCTAAGAAATACTGGCTGGGTTCAGACTCCACAATAAGGGATTATTTGTTTTAACCTTCATTTGCTAACAAGCACAATGCATGGGTTCATATACTGTGTGAAGCCAGAACAATAAGACATATAATGGTTTAGTGGGAAATGTTATTCCAGTTCTTAAATGCTTTTTAAAATAGGACTCTCTTTTTAAGTGTCACTGGGATTGTGAATCCTTGAGTTTTGGGGAACGTCCTCCCAACCCATCTGCTGATATAGCAAGTAACCTAGGTTGGCCAGGGCAATCACAATTTTGTGTGGATTCTTTTGTTGAAAAAACTGAAAGAGCAGATAGAAATGATCTCTGTGAGAAGGAAAAAAAAATGGGAATAGTTTTAAGAGGACTTTATGGATGAGTATCCAAGAAGCAAAATGGAGAATTATAGGAAATAAAAGCAGAAGCTAATATATAAAAAGTTTAAACAGGTAGCCCAAGCCAACAGGGATGCAGTCAGGGAGGTTAAAGGTCATGGCCAGGTAAGGCCACCAACGAATGCAAAATATAGTAGGAAGTGTTTTAGCTTGTCCACAGAAAAAGAGCCACTAAGGTTGGTGGTTGGTTGGAAAGGGGAAAGTGAAAACAGAGAATAGAGATAGGGCAGACCTGTTCAACCTCTTATTTCTGTCTCTCTTCTCTGAGAAGGAGAGAGAGCCCTTCTTAACATGACTGAGGAGGTGGGGGAGGGAGAAGGTCAGGATTAATGAAGACATAGTTAGAACCTGCCTTGCTACCCTAAATGAATGTAAATCTTCAAGGCCTGACAAATTAATCCCCACTGCAACACTGAAGGGACTGGCAGAAGTATTCACACAACATCTGACTATAAACTTTGAAAAATGTTAGAGAACTGGTGAGGTGTCAAAAGTCTACAGAAGATCAAACTAAGACCAGATATTCAAAAAGGTGAAAGAGGAGGACCAGGAAACTAAAGGCCAGTTAACTTCTGTACTGGGCAAAATATCAGAACAGACTGTCAAGCTACATATCTATGAGCACATAGAAAAGAACGCCAACATTACCAGATATCCTTCTATGACAGAGTTACTAGCTAGAAAGACCAAAAGAATGCTGTAGACATAGCATAACTTAATCTCAATAAAGTGTCTGGTAGTCTCACATGATATTCTTATGGAAAATATGGATAAAAATGGGCTTGAGGGGACAATGATCCAGTACACTTACAGCTGGTTGAACAAGGTCACCCAACTGCTTCTCGTAAATAGTTGCATATTGAGTGATGTCCCCCAGGGCTCATCACCTGCCATACACTACTCAACAGAATTATAAATCATTTAAGGGATGAAATGGAAAGGAGACTTATTAAATTTACAGATGATTTTCAAGCTAGGGGATTGGTTAACACCTTAGAGGACAACTTCATTTATTTATTTAAATTTATAAGGCCACCCAATTCTATAACAACACATAATGACATTAACAGGCTTGAACATTAAAATGGCAAGAATAACTGCATCTGAATAGGAAAAAAAAGAAAGACAGACAAGAAAGCAGTATGAGATTGGGGAGATCTGATGCAATGCATGAACAAAGAATCTAGGATTCTTGCTGGACAACTAAACATGTGCAAGCAGCGTGGTGCAACAATTGAACAGTTCAATGCAATCTCAGAATGCAGTAATAGAAGCATCGTATCTAGATCATGGGAAGTAATTGCTCAATTGCACAATACTTTGCATGGGTTAAACCACACTTGGACTACTGCATCCAGTTCTGGGTATTGAACTTCAGAAAGTAGAAAATGGAGAAACTAAGCAGGGGTGTCTGCAATGAGAAGGTCCAAAAAGTCAAGATTGTAACCACAACCATGTGATCGAACTCCTGCCTGTTTTTATGTTGCGGATACTCCTGACCTGGAGCAGGTTCACAAGAAAATTACTAGGATGATAAGGAAATAGATATAGAAATAAAGTACTATGAGGAACTGGGGATGTTTGCTTGAGCACATGAGGACTTGAAATGAGGTAGAAAATAGGGTCCCATCTACAAGCCCCAATCCTTACAGCTGTGTTCAGATGATTCACTTTAATCACTATTTATTCAGTTAACAATAACAAATTCCTGCCGTATGGAACAGTATTTCTCCAGAGATCTGTATAATTCTTGCTAGCTGGCCAGCCAGCCTGAAGACCTGGTTTCCCTGCCCCCCCCCCCCGCCCTCCAGGCATTGGATCAGAAGGTCTTGTGAACCTGTCAAGATTCCTTGTTTTACTGAATTGCTTCTGACAAAACTTGCTATACATTTTCTTATATTTTATTTTTGTAGGGTGATTTGTCATTTTAATTGTACACTGCCCTGAGTTGCATGTCAAGTGGGCAGCTACATAAGCTGACTAAATAAATAAATAAATAACAAGCCAGTTTTCTGGGCTGACCATAAAAAGCGAGAACCATAAATTAATTTCATGGGCTGCGTTTATATTACACACAAGGCAACAAGGCTACCTTATGGTTACTGAAATACTTCCTTGCATTTTTTTTTCCAACTGTCCAGCTGATACACCTGTGCCTCTGGGGGAAGAACATGTGGCCTGGAAAGTAGGTGCAGAACTTCTCAAAGAATCAAGCAGGCATTCTTTTTCAACTATACCTCCCAAAATCAAACACAGACCGAGGTACCAGCCAGGAGTAGTTCTTATTATAACACTCTGCCAGATGGAAATTATTGATAGCATAGCTCAGGCTTATATGTGATGCAGAAGGTAATATATCATATGAAAGCAACCAAAGATCATGGTTCCATTATGTTTCATAGTAAGAATATACATTATTGAGAGAATGTATTGCTAAATCTTTTCCAACCTGGTGCTCTTCTAAGTAGACATTCTGGGAGTTGAATCGGGCAGAATCAGGTTGAGAAAGTTTTATATATGTCAGTGGTTTTCAAACTTGGCAACTTTGAGATGGGCGGACTTCAGTTCCTGCTGGCTGGAGAATTCTGGGAGTTGAAGTTCACATATATTAAAGTTGCCAAGTTTGAAAAACACTGATTCATGTCCATCACGCACATGTAAGATGTCCCCAAATGCATAATGGTGTTATGTATTTGACTGAATTTAACTGAAGAATATACAACTGTAACCTGAAATTTATCATTAGTTACAGGGTTACCTCCAAAGTAAGTTGCCATTGGTTCTCATTGATTGGTGGAAACAAAGTTGGAAAATAAGTGTGTTATGTATATATGTATATATTAGATGAACCTTAAGTTAGAGGCATCAATAGACATTTAGCAAACTGCTACTAATCTCTCTTATAATCTTACTACTCACAGGGCTGAATTTCTAATGTCCAGATGAGTTTACACAGGTCACTTTACACTTGGTAATTATTACTGCATCAGATAGATAATTTTAGAGCAAGTTCAGATCAAAAATATCAGCTATTTTTCACTTAAGTCCAATCCTCCAGATGGGTTGGGGCTGTACCTTCTAAATTCCCTGCCAGCACGACCCCAAAAATTTCAGTCCTGATATATCTGGTTTGGGAAGTTTAATTTAGAGTGTGCTATGTATATAACAGCTTTTAATCAAATTAAGTGCATTAAAATAATGGTTTCATCACCTTTTTTTTTTCACTGAGGATATTCTCCCACCAAGGATCTCCCAATGAGGTGCTTTTTTCTTATACACAGAAGATCACAGAAGGCATGGAACCAGGTAAGCAGTATGATCTGAGATACATAAGCTGCAGTGATTGACTTTTCATCTCCCAGAAAGTAGCTATGTCTTCTAACCATCTTCCCTCTCTCTCTTCAGATGTAACCTTGGACTGTTTGGGCTATGAATGGGAACTTCATCGAATGTATTTATTTAAGTCCCATGTACTTTCACAGCTTCTTGCTGAAGCAGTACAGAATAGTGAGTCCCCAAACTCAAAAAGCCCACCGAAGCCTAAAAAAGGTATTGGTAGATGTTCCCAAATTTATGTTTTATATGTCTATAGATGTGTTTAATTCACAGTGGTTTACAGTCAGAGAATTTTAATGATACTCACTGACTCTAAACCAGAAATCCACAGTCATATTTTTCCAACTGGGATTAGAGGATTAAAAATTAGTGTTGGTAGGGGAATACAACAATGATGGAACTGACAGAAGCTTCCAAAAGCAGAATGTTCAAAAGGACACTTATTATTGCTTTCTCTTATCCAATAATATAGAAAAAAGGAATGAACAGCCAGATATTTTGGGATATTGAATGAAAAGGGTGAACTCAAAATCATGCAAGCGCTGGAATAAAGTATAAATCTGAGATATATAGTTAAAAATTGTATAACATGTAGTGAAATCTGGTTAGAACTGTAACTTGGTTAGAATTGTAATTGATATTGTAACTGATATTGGTTAGAATTGTAACTCTTAAGAATTGGAAAAATTAAAAAGTACTTATGCAGGAGGAAGTTATTCAAAATTATGGAATGTGCAGAGATGAGTTAAATTGAGATCTGAAATTAGAGTAAGAAGATAAGCAATTTTATATGACACGGGATTTGTTTTTCTTATCTAATCATTAATAAAAACAAATCCCGTGTCATATAAAATTGCTTATCTTC